CTGCCACTGCACATGCCAGGACACTCACTACAGGCCTGAGTGCATACAGACTTTGTAGTGAGGAACGTCAAGCATGATCCACCCAAATCATGAAGAGATGAGATTTCAAAGACTCCTTCAGCTATTCAGTGCCTACTGCAATTCACCCAGAGTTGAAGCCTAGTTGTATGTAGTAAAGGAACAGAGATAAACTGCAGGTTTTAAAACATCAAGGGGGCTCCATATGTGGGAGTGATATTGTGGGTAATTGACAATTTTACTTAATATTTTTCTATCGTATCTTTTTAACTATAAACCATATTATTTTTATAACAGTAAAAGATCAAACTAGCTCTATTTTTGCAAATGGTAGATGCTTAATTTACACTAGAACATTTTGACAAAATAAAGGCTCCTGTGACAACTGTAGAATTAAAAAAAGGAAAGACAAGGGAGAAACTCAAAACTAAGACAAATGGAACAGAAGGAGCATTAAGCCCTCAGAGAACAAATTTATTGAATTGAAAAGATGCAATATCTATTGTGCCACAGTGAACAAATTTAAAAGAGGAATCAGATATTATTCCATGTTCCCTCAGAGCAGGAGAGTACAGAATAAAGTGCTAAAAGTAGATCTGACGAAGGGTCTTATTTGAAGGTGCCATGCTTGGTGAGTGATGCCCAAGAGTGTGAACGCAAGTTAGTGTCAGGTGATAACCAGGATGACTGAAATATTCATGTTGGCCCCACTAGTTCTATGCCCAGAGTGGTAGGGGCAAAAGATCCATTCACAGAACAAGTCTGTGCCTTCAGAAAGTAAACAGCCACAAATCCCAGGATTGCATCTTCAAGAGCCAGATTCATATGCTGTATTTACTCTCTCAGAATTCACCTGGGTCAGGGAAAGGAGTAACAAATCCTACAAGAACAAATTACTGATGATTCTAGAAGATTCTTTCTTCACTTGTTAACATTCAACCTCTCCCCACCGTTGCACTTCCAAGATAACTATTCCTGGTTCAAAAGGCCCCTTGAGCCCTCTCTTCTCCTCACACCCCCTTTCAAAAGGCCCCTCGGGCCCTGTCTCCTCCTCATACCCCTCTCCTCTGGCTGTCCGTCTCTCTTCTACTGCCTTTCCTCCCTTGGTCACTCATCACTGCATTGCACTGGCAGTGCTTATTCATGTCGACTGTCTTCACCAAACCATAAGACCTTCGATGTCCAGCTCTATCTTGGTCATCTGTGTCCCCTAATAATTAGCATAGCCCCTGGCACGTACATGGAATCCACAACTGTTTTGTGATTTAGGAGAGATTGGCAAAGGACTCCATTTCTGGAATTTTTTACTTTAAATAAGTAAGAATATGGATAATGAAGCACTTGAGTAGAAGAAAAAAATACATTCAGTTTACCTACTAAAATACTTCAAAGTAAAGCCTCATTAATACAACCTTAATGACTTAAGAACTGATTATTATTTTAGCTGGACTGAAATTTACTGTGACAACTCATGTGGACAGTGTGTGCAGGAAATACGAAGAGCAGAGCCACCATGGGGAGGGAGAGAAGCAAGGAGGCTCTGCATTTGCCTGTTTCTCAAGAGTGAACTTCAAGGACCACAGAATGATTTTTATATGAAAAAGAGTGTTACTTTCATAAATAAACATAATCGAAAGAAAATCTAATGCCCAGCCCAACACCTGGTCAATAGCTGGTCAGTGATTATCACACCCAGCAGGCCACACCTGGATCTCACTGTACAGTCTCCCAGAATCCACACTGAACACCACTCCTCCATACCATCACTCACTCACTCAGCCCTTGCAGGCAGCCAGGAAATACACGGGGCTCAACACATCCAGCTGGTATTTTAAGCAAAGAAATCTTCCCCTGATGTTAGCTTTGGTTTTCCTTTCCATGTTTCCCCCTTTTTAATGCCAGTCTTAAGGTTCCTGAGAAAACGCAACAAGACAAGAAAAAAAGGAGATGGCAGGGTGGTTAAGAGGACAGCTTTGGAGCTGGGCAGATCTCAGTGAAATTCCAATCCTTTCACTTACTGAGGAATTATCTCCGAGTCTTGGTTTCCTTATCAATAAAATAAAAATAGTAATAGAACTTATTGGGTAATCATGAAGCTTAAATAAGGCAATGCATAAAAATTACTTAATAAATTTTAACAATTATTATTCTCTGCATCAAAGACAGATTAGCATGATGGTTAAAAGCATGCATCATATTGCCTGAGTTTAAATCCCTGCTCTGTCACTTCCTAGCTATTCTGGCAAATTACTTAACCTCTCGTGTCCTAGTGACCACTAAATGGAGTTCCTGGGACAAGTATATGTGGAATACATTTAAAGTAATTAGGACAGTGCCTGACACAGAATAAGCGCTCAGTAGACATTAGCTGTTATTAACTACAGACATCTAGAAAAGAGTTCCTGCACATCAAATTTTAAAATTTGGAAGGTGACAAATGCTATGAATAAGCAATTTATAGAAAGAATATAAATGGCCAATAATATTAAAAGATGCTCAGCCTCATTCATTATTAATGGAATGCAAATTTAAAACAATGATTTAGTTTTCCAACCAAGATTTTGTAAAAATTAAAAGGGTAATATTAAATCATAGTGAGCAGAAAAATATGCACTCCCAATATATAGTTGATGGAAATGTAAATCTGCACATTTTTGAAAACTGTATGATATTATCTATCAAAAGTGTAGGCCAGGTGCTGTGGCTAACACCTGTAATCCCACAATTTTTGGAAGGCTGAGGGAGGAGGACTGCTTGAGCCCAGCAGTTCATCATCATCTTGGGCAACGAAGCAAGATCCCTTCTCTACAAAAGATTTTATTTTTTAAATTAGCCAAGCTCAGTGGCATGCATCTACAGTCGCAGCTACTTGGGAGGCTGAGGCAGGAGTATCCCTCAAGCTCAGGAGTCCGAGGTTGCAGTGAGCTATGATCACGCCACTCTAGTCCAGCCTGGGTGACAGAGTAAAAATCTTGTCTCAAAAAAAAAAAGGTGGGGTGCAGTGGCTCATGCCTGTAATCTTGGCACTTTGGGAGGCCGGGGCAGGTGGATCACCTGAGGTCAGGAGTTCGAGACCAGCCTGGGAAACATAGTAAAACTCTGACTCTACTAAAAACACAAAAATTAGTTGAACATGGTGGTGCATGCCTGTGATCCCAGCTACTCAGGAGCCTGAGGCACGAGAAATGCTTGAATCCAGGAGGTGGAGGTTGCGGTGAGCCGAGATTGCACCACTGCACTCCAGCTTGGGCAACACAGTGAGACTGTCTTAAAAAAATAAACATAAAAAAGTATAAAAACACATTCTTTTGACCCAGCAGTTCCATCTCCAGAACTAAATCCAAAAGAAATATTCATCAAAGTGGGCAAACATATGTAAAAGAAACTAGAAACACCACCACATGGCCATCAATAGAGCACTGGTTAAATACACAGCTTTACACCAACACAGTGGAAAACAGCCATTAAAAAAATACTGAATATCCACATATACAGAAATGAAAACATATTCACTATATATTAAGAATAAAGTTATAGACAAGTATAACATGTCATTTTTATTTCTAAATATAAAACAAAATTACACATCTATTTATTTATCTCTGTGCTTAGAAACATCTGAAAGATGCTAGTAATTATATTTGGCAAATGTGATATTTACAGTATTTAAATTTTTGCAATACATGTGTACCACTTTTTATTTTCATTTTATTTATTTTTTTTTGAGACGGAGTCTCACTCTGTCGCCCAGGCTGCAGTGCAGTGGCACGATCTCAGCTCACTGCAACCTCTGATTCCCTGGTTCAAGCAATTCTCCTGCCTCAGCCTCCTGAGCAGCTGGGATTACAGGCACGCGCCACCATGCCCAGCTAATTTTTGTGTTTTTAGTAGAGACAGGGTATCACCATGTTGGCCAGGATGGTCTCGATCTCCTGACCTCACGATCCGCCTGCCTCGGCCTCCCAAAGTGCTGGAATTACAGGCATGAACCACCACACCCAGCCCCACTTTTTATTTTTTACTTGTTTTTTAAAGAAAGTATAAGAACAAAAATGGTTAAAAGCACAGATTCTACAGCCAACATTCTGGATTTGCAAGTCTGCTACCTATCAGCAATGTGACCTCTATGCCTCAGTATTCCCAATGTATAGCAATGACACCTATACGTTAACAGTAACAACGATAACTGTTAAGTTACAGAGCTCTGGTGAGCATTAAATGAGTTAAATGGAAAGATCTTAGAACAATGTATGGCAGAGGGTAGGCACTATATGGGACATGTCCACTATTACTAACCTTGAAGAGCATTCTTAGATTACTTCAACCAAGCCATCCCACAGAAGCCCATCTAAAGTGACCAACAAAATTATCAGTAGACAATGGGCACAGCAAATACACTGGCTCTCGGTAGCCAATTAGCAATATGAAGTATTAAAACCACCTGGCAACCTAGGATTTCGATTCTAGCTAGGCTTTCTCTTGTCCTCAACTTCTTTATCTGTTCAAAGGAAGAAGATGACTTAGATAACTGACAAATCTAATATCCTAAAAAGTTTACTGTTTAAATAATGATAGATTTTTATAGTTGCCTCAAAAATGTACTCCAGTCAGTAGGTGCAGAACCTGAAACACAATTCCATACTAAAATACATGCTCCATAAAAGAGAAACTCCTTCAAGAACAGTCTCTTGGAATACACTGCAGCAGAAAAGGACTTCCTCCATCTGAACATAATCTAATTGCATTTCCCTACAAGCATACTATATAACTCACATATTTCATTCACTTAGATGGTTTCCTCTCACCTATCCCACTGCCCACACCATAAATACAAATTAGTGATATTTTACTCTATATTCACCAAGACTCTATGGTTTCATAACCACTAGAAGAACAAGTAACTGTTTCCCACCTGGTAAAAACTCAAATATACTGCAGTCAAAAATGCCTCACATACACACAAACCAACATAAAATACTTACACGAAATGCTGCAAGAATGATTCTCGTTACTTTCTCTTTGACAGACTCCTGAAGGATATCAGACAGAACTGGAATGATATTATAGCGCCGCAGGTGTTCACACATTTGAGGACTGAATGCCAGGAGCCATATTGAAAAAATCATTTGATACTGGAGCTGAAAGCCACACTTGTTACTCAACACTCCCATTATGCTGGAAAAAAAAACACACACACACACATTTACAAAACATTTAATATGATAGCAGAAGAAAGAAGAAATAAGCAATTATTCTCTTTTTGCACTAACGGAACAGGTCTCTCTGAATTATGTCCTGTTTCCTTCCTAGCAGCAATAACAAGCAGCTAGATTGTTACTCACAGAGAACCATTTCCAGTACAGCTCCACTTAACCCTCTCTCCAAAAGTCACAGGACCTCAGGAAGCAGGAGCTCTTGCTGTGTGGCAAGAAGGGAACAAAGACAGGCAATATGGCAACAGGAATGGAAAGAGCAATCGGACAGACAATAGAGCCAAAAGTGACATGGAGATTTTGAATCGGGGCAACCAATAAGACCACTGATAGCTTTAAAATATAGAGGAAACAGAGAAAAGAAGGGATGAGTTTGGTGAAAACCTGTGATAGGTTCAAATTTGACATAGCCAATTACTGAATTTGGGGGTCAGGAAAAACCTCAGTTTGATCAAGAGATCAAAAACTCAGTTTGATCAAACTTCTAGTTTGATCTCTTACTTTACTGATAAGGAAACTAGGAAAATGACATGGAAATGAAGGAGGTTACACCAAGACAGATAATATACACAATAGAAGAAAAGCTAAGGAAACTGCCCTGGGGAATACCTACATTCAAACAATGGAGTTCAGAAATCATCAAATTAAAAAAAAAAAAATCATCAAATAAGATCATTAAAAGTAACCTTCATATTGGAGCAGAGCCTACTATTTAAAAAAAGACCAGAGGGGTAAAGAGCTCGAAGACCACAGAATGTACAACACAAAGAGTGAGTCCTAATGTAAGCTATGGAACTTTTTAATAAAAATTTATTAACATTGGATCATCATTTGGAACAAATATACCATACTAATGCAAGATGTTAATGATAAGGGAGTTTGCGGGGGGGGAGTGGAGGATGTAATGGGAACTCTCTGCACTTCGGTTTTTCTGTAAAACTAAAGCTGCTCTAATAATATAAATGTTTAAAATGCTACGCCTGATTTTACAATCTAATCCTACTGTAACTTACTGAAAGGCTTTTATCTGTGTTATTTCTCCATTTGTATGATTGTACATAGTTCAGTTCACTAATTGTTTTTAATGTTCTCATGCATGGGTTTTGCCTTGTCTTCTCTATTTTTGGTTGTTATGCAAAACTTGCTTTTTAATTAATATTGACATTGGTATACAAGCTGCTGTAAAATCATGTCATTTTATACTGTAAAAACCCTAGTCCCTGGTTTCCTTTGCTCTCTGTTCCAGTTATTAAGCCAAGCCTTCTGCACTTGGCTTTGTGTTGCTGAGACCCTGAAAACCACATTTCTGTTCCACCAGTTGGCTCCCTGTTAGGCTATGCCAAGAATAGGAGCTAGAGGCTGACTTCAAGGAAGGAAGAATGGACTTTCTCCTGTTGGCTTCCTGATCCTGAGAGCATTACCCCAGTAACACTCCTTCAACCCAGCAGCAGCAGTTCTTTCCCATGGCAGCAGCCAAAAACAGTTTGCAGTTTTTCAGCTCTAGCAGAACAAGCCTCATCACATTTCCTGAGACATCAGCACTAGCCAGCTGGCTCCCCTCCCCAGAGTCCTGGGTTCTAAATCCACGAGGCTTTTCCTCGGAGTTCAGAGACACCAACATCAGCTGGGCAAAACCTCCTACTCAAATGTCTAAATTTCAGCTGTACCATCGGCCCCTCCTCCAAGCATGCAAATTTTAATGATTCCAATCTCTTACCACTGCACGCCTACTTTACATCCCCCACCCCGCCTTATGGGTGGTATCTGCACTTGCTACGTTTCTGACACTCAAGAGTCATTTTTGTTTGTTTGTTTCATTTTAAACAAAATTAGTGGCTGGGCATGGTGGCTCAAGCCGCTAATCCGAGCATTTTGGGAGGCCAGGGTGGGTGGATCTCTTGAGTCAGGAGTTTGAGGCTAGCCTGGGCAACATAGCAAAATCCCATCTCTATCAGAAATAATAATAATAATAATATTACCAAAAGATTTCCCAAAAAATACAAAAATAGTTAGCAAATGTATACTTAGTTAATAATTCTTCATATCAAATTATGTTAAAATAAAAAAGAATGCCGATGATAGTTGAATGGGAATAGCACTGAATCTATAAATTACTTTGGGCAGTAGAGGCAATTACCCCCAGCAAAGGCCCACTTATAGCTCCAATATTTAGGAAGTTAACGTTAACCTTCAGACTTTCCTGTGAGGCTAACAATATATAGCACAATATAATGTAAATTTTTTTATCTTATATAGGTATACAAATACTCAAAACAGTGTTGTATTATGTATATAATAGGCTTTTTAACAACAAAAAAGTCAGCAAACTATATAGATTAAAATGTACTGAGTTTTTTTAAGACCTCAGTTATCAGCCAGGCGAGGTGGCTCATACCTGCAATCCCAGCACTTTGGGAGGCAGAGGCGGGCTGATTACGAGGTCAGGAGTTCAAGACCAGCCTGGCCAACATGGTGAAACCCCATCTCTACTAAAAATACAAAAATTAGCCAGGCGTGTTGATGCATGCTTATAATCCTAGCTACTCAGGAGGTTGAGGGAGGAGAGTTACTTGAACCCAGGAGGTGGAGGTTGCAGTAAGCTGAGATTGCACCACTGCACTCCAGCCTGGGCGACAAAGCGAGACTCTGTCTCAGAAAGAAAAAAAAAAAAAGACCTCAGTTATCTTCTACTCTTCAAACAAGCTATACTTGAAAATTTTTCTCCTCACATTATTCCCATTTGCAATGTGAGAAACACACACACGCACACACAAATTCAATGCTAAGCAAAAACTCAAAAAGTAGAAAGTACATATTTCTGAAAAAATGAAAAGATTAAATGACTTTTTGAAATTGCTATACTTTCAGCAAGTTATTATACCTTTATTAATGCCCATTTCTCCACCTAAAGGTTTAATCTGATTACTGCTAATCTTATTAGTGGTCATTAGCATATCAAAATATATTAGTTGAACATGAAATAGTCTAGATCATATTTATGCCTGATCTTGTTGCTGTTGAATGGTTAACATTGCTGAATGGTCTCTAAAATACTAAGGTACTAGTCATTAGAACAGCAGGATTTGTTGTACTCAGCATACCATGAGAGTTCAGAGAGACCAAACTTTGGTATTTGAGTTTATTTTATAAGCAATTACAACTATTTGTAGAGATTGCTATTTCATGACTTTGATTCTTTCTTATAGGTCCTCCACAGGGGGAAAAAAAATCTAATTTTTGGTTAGTAGAATTAAAATTCATTTTATCTTACAATTAGGGCAGAGCACTCATGAATGGAATCAGTACCCTTCTAAAAGGGTGCTGAGAAAGACCCCTGTCCCCTCTGCCATCTGAGTTTACAGTGAAAAGATAGCCATCTATGAATGAGGAAGCAGACCCTCACCAGACACCACATCCGCTAATGCCTTCAGCTTAGACTTCCTAGCCTCCAGAAATGTGAGAAGTAAGTTTCCACTGTTTATAAGCCACGTAGTATTTTGTTAAAGCAGCCCAAATAGATTAAGACACCTACTTTCTTTCAGGAGTCTGAAATTTTGGTGTGTTTCAGACAGTGTGTGTCTACATAACTAACCTCTAATAAAATCTTGGGAGCTGAGTCTCTGATGGGTTTCCTGGACAGAAACCTCACAAAAATGTTGCTGCATTTTCAATGCTAGGGGAAGATACTCTGTGAGACCCCTCTGGGAGGAAGAGAGCATAAGGGAGCCTGCGCATGGATTCCTCCACACTCTGCCTGTGTCTTTGTCCCTTATGATACAGTTGTGTGTCCTCACTGTATCTCTGTAATAAATCTTATCTGTGAATACAACTATATGCTATGTCGGTGAGTCTAATGAACCGCCTGACAAGTGAGAATTTTTTATTTTCTGCCTATAATAATGACCAACAGAGGAAAGTGTTTCACAATTATTAGATTATTCAGAAGATGAAAACAAAGAGATAGACTGCACTCTATTCTCTAACAATAACGGTGAAATGGGTCAAATTAAGTGAAATCTTAAACTGTGAGTCTCTAGATATCTATATTATAAATGAATTTTCTCAAACTCAAGAACTGATAAATGAGGAATATATTTATAAGGACAAAAAGGAAATATAGTATTCTCAACTAGTTAGCCATTGAACATGAAAGACTTCCAGACAGTATTTTGCAACAAGAACCTAGACCATTTCGCTCAAGGACATGTGATGATTTTCTGTCATCTTTTATGATACTTGTGTATCAAAATGTACTTTTTACAAAAAGGTTTGCTATGTTTTAATTTTTATTGAAATTTCTAACAGTTGTTTTTCACTCTCTTTATTCTTAGTTCCATCAATTTTTCACAAAATGACTAAAAATATATTTTTAAAGGGTCTGTTGGACCCAGATGACAAACTGTGATGGCTATTTTTCCTGGCAAACTGACGACTAAACAAACAAGAATGGACTGAAATTTTACAGATTAATAGAAAAATAATTACTAACTTACTGAATTGATGGATCTTGAATAGTTGTGACAATTCGAATACAATTCCTAAGAACAGCTATTTGCAGAAGTAACCCATTCTAAGGAATTGCATACAAATACTGACTGAAAAGATCTAGAATATTTGGGTCCCTTCACAGGTATATCCTACACTGGAGATACAGGTAAGAGTCCAATGCTTGCTTTAAATCCTCACCCACCAAGCAACTTACTGTTGATAACCTAAATTCCTCTGTAGATTTTCTAACAGAGAAACAATGCCTTGCTAACTGAAAAGAATATTTGGTTTAAGAGCAGTTAGATCTCTCATTATGAGCAAATAAGTTGATTTTCTGACAGTAAAACAAGATTTCCATTGTTTTGGAGGTTTTCAGTTGCTTGTCTATATAAGCCTGAACAGACAGCTCCTCAAAGTTTCTATACCTGCAAATTAGGATCCCACAAAGACTGGGTTAAATTATATGGCATTAGAAAGAAAGGTTTATATTCACTCTTAGGTACGAACTTTTCTTGTTGATTTCTGCCTACATTCATCATAAAATATTTTTTTAAATTTTTTTATATTCTGAGTACCTGGAATCTGTCCTGTTAAGCATTAGGTTCTTAAGAGGCCTTAATCTCTTATAAAAGCACAGATCAAGCAAGGAAAGGGGCTCAGTTTGATAGTTACTGACTTCTAAGAAGGTTAGTATAGTCAATTGTTAAACAGATAAGAAAAAAATAAAATATTTCTTTTAGATGATTACATATTTCTTTGAAAATATCAAGGAGAGACGCTTGTAAATGTTATTTTACATTAAAAGTAAAGGGCACTCACCAATTTACCCCATCTGCTTCCACCCAAGCAAAGCGGTACTCATTGACCCGAAGCATCAGCTGCAAACACCCGGCCACACACTGCACATACTGTGAACTCTGCACAAGAAGAAGTGTTGAGTTTTTTAATTGGAAAGCATTTAAAGTCATGCGATCAGACACACATTTCTAAATGAAAATCTGATTACTTACTGGAATTAGCATCTGAGCATCCAAAATTCCCTAATCTCTTTTCAAAAGTTAATCCTCATGTTTGCTTTAATCTCTCCCTCTTAGAAATGAACAAGATTTTGTCTCCTGAATTAAATCTACACAAGTCAAGACTACTTAACACACAGTTAGGGAAATCTAGAACAAAACAATTTATATTTGATACAGTTTGATAAATAAGCATATTGCCTTACAATGTTTCACATATCCCTGAATAAAGATACTATAGAGAGAGAATACTGTTCCACATAATTACAGAACTATCAAAGAACAATAAAATTAACAAAAAGAAGAGTAAATACTTCGAGATAGGCCTATATGTAAATGACCTCGGACAAGTTACCGAACTTTTTCAATATGAAATGTCTTCATCCTTTTGAGAACAACATAGCCAAGCACCCTGAATATTGTTAGATTTAAGAAAAATAATTCAGGCCAGCCACAGTGGTTCATGCCTGTAATCCTAGCACTTTGGGAGGCTGAGGTGGGTGGATTTCCTGAGTTCAGGAGTTCCAGGCCAGCCCAGGCAACATGGTGAAACCCCGTCTCTACTAAAAATACAAAAAATTAGCTGGGCGTGGTGGCGCACACCTGTAATCCCTGCTACTTGGGAAGTTGAGGCATGAGAATTGCTTGAATCCAGGAGGCAGAGGTTACAGTGAGCCGAGATTACACCACTGCACTCCAGCCTGGACAACAGAGTGAGACTCTGTCTCAAAAAAAAGTAAATAAATAAATAATTCATTTCACAACACAGCTAGACAAACACAGGAACTCAATAAATAAAAACTTTATTAAAAAACCCATATGGCATATAAAGTCTAATTAAACACTTGAAAAAGACTATGATTTTTAAAACCATCAGTTCAATAACACTGTCCCTTACAAATTGTGTTTAAACCTGAAACTTAAAATAAACTGGAGTAACACTCCCAGAAAGTTGCAAGTCCCTTCATTTTACCAAAGCTAGTGGGAACATCTGACCTGGGCTTTTCCTTAAATATATACAATAAACCTTAAGACTTTAAGAAGTAGAGAAAGGAGGCTAGGTGCGGTGGCTCACGCCTATGATCCCAGCACTTTGGGAGGCCAAAGTGGGCGGATCACTTGAGCTCAGGAGTTCAAAACCAGCCTGGCCAACCCCCATCTCTACGAAAAATACAAAAATTAGCCAGGCGTGGTGGCGCACACCTGCAATCCCACATACTCAGGAGGCTGAGGCAGGAGAATCGCTTGAACCCAGGAGGCAGAGGTGGCAGTGAGCCAAGATCACGCCACTGCACTCCAGCCTGGGCGACAGAGCAAGACTCCATCTCAAAAAAAAAAAAAAAAAACAAGAAGTAGAGAAAGCAAAGGAAATTTCAGACAACAGCTTTCAAAATGAACATGCTAATTTCAAAAAAAAATTTTTAAGGAAAGAATCATGGGTGTTATATAAATTCACAGAACCTAACATATATGATGCTACTAAACTTTATTCTAATTTAAATAACGTTCATAAAAATCTAACACTTCAAAGAAATTCCAGGCACTTTAATACAGAAACACAACAATATAAGTACATTTGGTGGAACAGTCACATGTATCAAGAAAAGGTTATCCTGGGTCGTACCTAAAAAGCAGTTATTTTAGTTCCACAAAAAAACACAATAAATCTAGTAATATAATTTGCCTGAAAACTCAAAACATTAGCAAAAATTAAAGACAGATAAATAGTGCATTTTCAGCTCTAAAACAATATTCCATAATGAAAAAAACATATATTTTTTCCAATTAAGTCATCAGGTAGAAACTTTTTCTAAAGAAGAGGAATCCCATCAACAACCAAGCAAGATTTCTAAACAAATGAATAAAAAGGCAACGTTGAGCACCCTCTTCTATCCCATCTACCATCAGTTTCCTCTCATCATAAAAATTGTTTGTTTCAGGGTAAGTCTTTCTTTTCTGTGGCTACTCACCATGCTATGTTGAAATACATAACAAACCACAAGGATGGATTCTTCGTTGTTATTTATAGCTTCAGTATTCCCATTACAAATGAGCATATAAAAAGTGCTGGTTCTAAACCTGACATACTCTCTCCTATTGCACACTATCAGGCAGTAGCCGTACCATTCCAGAGATTACTTCAGAGTATAGAAAGAATCAGCATGAAAAATGATTAAATTATTGCCTTCAATTATGCAAAGTAGAGTGCATTACGTCCTTGTCTTTCACTTAAATTGAAGTTAAAGGTGAAATAAAAATTTCCCCTTTTATGATACCAACAGCTTATTATTACAATACTCATTTTTTCAGAAGAGGAACCCAAGACATAAAAAGGTGATATAATTTTCTGAAATGAAAATACTGAGTTGGCCAAGCACAGTGGCTCACACCTGTAACCCCAGTACTTTGGGAGGCCGAGGAGGGAGGATCACTTGAGGTCAGAAGTTTGAGACCAGCCTGGCCAATATGGCAAAGCCCTGTCTCTACTAAATATACAAAAAATAGCTGGGCGTGGTGGCATGCACCAGTAGTCCCAGTTACTCAGGAGGGTAAGGCAGGAAAATCGCTTGAACCCAGGAGGCAGAGGCTGCAGTGAGCAGAAACGGCATCACTGAACTCCAGCCTGGGCAACAGAGTGACACCCTTTCTCAAAAAAAAAAGAAAATAGTGAGTTAATCTTAGATTGGCACTAGAAGTCAACTCTCTTCACGCTTGAGCTAGTATTCTTTGTACTGTGCCAAGCATTCTGGGCTAAGAACTTGCCACAACATGCACTTTCTATGCAGCAAACCTCAATGGCAGAGAAAAACACTATTTTCACTTCTCAACACATTTAAGAGAATGTCATTTAGATAAATTCTTCAATGTTGCTGAAAATGCAAACTCTTACTATATTACAGTGAAAGTCACAGCACAAAGAAAATAGCAAATACAGTATTCACCTTTCTGGTGAATGTGGTCTCAAAGATCCATACACTACAGAATTACAAATTCAATAATTAAGGAACTGCAAAATAAGTAGGCAATAAAAGAAACATAAAAACATCAAGGATAGTGTATGTACAAAGTAAAACTAATGTTATAAAAACGTTTACAAATTTTCAATATTCATCTTCATAATGCTAGGATTTAAGTGCAAACTAAGTGAAAAAGAATAAAGAAAGTATTCATCTACATTCTGGAATTGTCAGCACTTGAGAAAACAAGTCTGCTTGGAATAAAAGGCATCTGTTCCACAGATACATGATGAAAAGGCACAGCACGTTGGTATCAGTGAAGCACAAAGATGAACTTTTCAAATACACAATTGACTAAAATAAGTCCCAGAAAGCAGTTTTAAGTGAAATGAAAAGATGCTGATCAAAGTTCTAAAAGTAATTAATATGTTTCGTGACTATTAAACTTTTTTTTCTCTTAAAACTAAAAGGCGATAGTATACATGTGTATGTGTGATTTTTACTTCAATACCGACACTTAAAGAAACACAGAACAATATCAAGTGTCAGTAAAGAACTGAAACAAATGGAATTTTCATACTTTGTTGAAGGGTACACAAACATAAAACTGGCAAGACTCACTAAAACTAAATTTACATACACCCCATTAATCAGCAATTCTATTCTAAACTTAGGTGCTGCAGACATAAAGGTATACATCTGCAAAAGATATGCACAAGAATGTTCACAGCAAAATTATTCACAAGAGTCAAAAAACTAGAAGCAACCCAAATATCCATCAATAAGAGAATGAGTAATATTCATATAATGAAATACTATACTGTAGTGAAAAAGAATTACTGCTAAATGCAACGAATAAATTTCATAGACACAATATTAAGCAAGAGAGTTCAGACACATAAGAGTTTATACTGTATATGATTCCATTAAATGGAGTTCAAGATCAGACAACACTACTCTACGGTAATAGATGTCATAATAATGATAAACTTTGTGTGAGTTGAGGTGAAGGCAGGAGGAGGAATTATGAGGTATAAACGTATCCCGCTGAACATTTAACATCTTTGCATTTTCCTTTATGTAAGTTATGACATAATTTAAAAAAAGAAATAGAGAAAAAAAAGTAAAAGAGGACTAGAGAGGGAGGAGGACAGAGTGAACACTGCAACAGGAACCAGAAGTTTTATCACATAATGTTGGGCAAATCACTTAACTTATTGAAAATTGTTTTCTTGTTAGCAAAGAAAAAGAAAAATAATATCATCTCTACCACTGGGGGAAAAAAAACTGCTATGACACTGAAATCAATTGCTATAAAACACTAAACAATTGTAAAGTATACTATTATCATCAATATTCAGGAACTAAAATACAGATATACCCCAAGAATTCTCTTGAAGTTGGTTGATTAAAAGAGATCCTCTAGTCAGCGGTCATAAAATATCTAAATTAAGATACAGTTTTACCAAAAAAAAAAAAAAAATTGTTTTACTAATGTTTTACAAATTTATAAATCTTCAAAGTATTGCTTTCAATCTAATGTGCTTAATCTAGTAATTCAATTACATGACTAGTAGAAATCTTTATTACAGAAAAAAAATTGTTGGCATAACTAAAAAAACGTGATCTTCTTTATAAATTATTGCTTTGTATGCAACTTCCAAGAACATAACTAATAAATACATAGTATTAGGTTAGCTTATTATTGTTATCAGTGCTATACTTTGAAAATGACATGTAAAAGAAAGTCTTATACTTACTTTACCAGTTAATTTTCTTTTGCATTGCAGAATATATCTGCAGGCGATCCCTCCAAAAATCAACACAAAGCCCATTTTATAATAAAGTGTTGAACAGCTCATGTAATTTATTGAAGAGGATGCTGAAAGTGATAATCATAATGGTCGTATGGATACCTGATGTACTATTTCTACCAAATGTATA